CTTAATTTATCTTAATTTAATATGATACAATATCTTATAATTTTGTCATGATTCTTGCTTGTAGATTTTGATTTGGTGTGGGCAATGACACACGAACTTGATTAAATCTTAGCTTACAATATGATCCAACAGTCGAAAAATATTTTTTTGGTCTACAATTTGGTAAAAAGATTGTAAAAAAAAATGATGTCTTCGTAGCATTACCCAAAATATATTTCTCAAAAAAATACAAAAATATTAATTAATAAATTTTACATGTGAGTCAAAACCAACATCTAATCTAAAATTTTCTTCATTAATTTCTTTGATGCGAGGCTTTCCCACTTAGTAGAGAATGCGACTCTGCGATACAACAAATGTTTATCTCAATAACATGAAGCTGGGCTCTGTCCTAGAGAAAACCGGAGGTGGGTAGTTCATGTATGTGGGATCATGATCCTTGGTATTATCCAGTACATGGTACATATATCAGTAATAAAAATTGGTATGCCCTTGGTCCCTTCCTACATGGTGATGCATTAGGAACAGTTTTTTTTTTTTTTGGGACGTACAGTTCATTCTCTTCAATTTGGGAGCCAAAGGCTACAAAATTTTTCTCCAAAGTCTGAAAAGTTTATTGGCTTAATTGCAAAAGAAAAAAAATTATGAGGATTTTCTTGCCAATAGTAAATATGCTTGAGGTCTTATTTCACGTTTTTTCCAATGTAGGGCAAAAATGTCTTTTCAGAAGTCAAAGAATCTGTTTTTGGCCTTTTGCGAATATATGCATCACGCTACCCAGTCAGGTGCGGTTGCCACTAGCGAAGTTGCAGTGTCTCAGAGATCTACAGAGGAAGAGGAAAAATGGCGAAGAAGGCGGCATTGGGATGGATGGAATGGTTGAGAGGCTGGATTCACATCATATACGAGATGCTGTTCCAGAGGATAATGGCCAGTAATCTCGAGAATCCTTTGCCTTTGCCTCCGGTCGACGACCTCACCTGCATTGTCACCGGCTCCACCAGTGGCATCGGCCGCGAAATTGCCAGGTTCTTCTTATCGTTCGTTTTCTTCTTTCGAGCTATTAGGGATGAAGATAAAGTAAATCAATTTTCTTTTCCTTGACTTAATTGGATTAAGTTTAGGAATTATGCTTTGGTTGTTTGAGAACAAATTAGAACGTGTTTTACTTGTCTGCTTGGTGTGGATATATTTCTCTTGATTCTTAAGCTAAATTGCGATAAGTGGAATCTATTTCTTCTCTGATGAATGTGTTAGAACACGATGACATGATGTATCTTAATGTCTATGCAAAGTTTTGATTATTGTTTGTTCCTGAAATAAGCCATTTTCTTCCTTTGTCCGGCACATCTGACGATTCCCTGTGTTTTCTTGTAGCTTACCTTTGGAGTAATTTTTGTTTGGGTTCTTTGTTTTCCTCATTAGGCAATTGGCGGAAGCAGGAGCACATGTTGTTATGGCAGTTAGGAATACAAAAGCAGCTAATGAGTTAATCCAAAAGTGGCAGAATGAAAGGCCTGAAGGTGGCCTCCCTCTCAATGTTGAGGTATATGTTGGTCACAGGGGAACACCATACATGAGAAGAATCTTATAGACTTCTACAACTGTCCCTTACTTAGGTTATAAATGAAGTTTTAGGTGTATAATTATGCGTGGAAAAATCCCTTGTTAATGTCTGACTTTTTCGCCAGAAGTACAAATCTTTGGGTAACAGCAGCTGCCCAGTTATTTTACATTCATAGTAAAACATATCTCTATCCTTGTAGAAAACAAACTAATACCTTTATGTCCTTCTGTGCATTAACAATTTCCCTTTTAGGTAACCTTCTACTCAGTTTTATTTTGCATTCCACTTTGACTGATGTGGTATTTATCTTCTCAAGGTGATGGAACTTGATCTTCTCTCCTTGGATTCTGTAGCGAGATTTGCTGAAGCATGGAATGCACGTTCAGCACCTTTGAATGTTCTTATTAATAATGCAGGCATATTTTCAATAGGAGGTTGGTCTTTTTCTAAACCATAAACTTGCAATCTTTTTGTCAATAGTTCTTCTTGCCAATGCTTTTTGTTCTACTTCTAGCCAATGCTTTTTGTTCTACTTCTAATTTCTATGGACTTTTAGGATGTCTTAGGTCTGTCATGGTTTAGCATCACAGATTCATGCTTTATGTTGGACTGGAAAAATGTTAGATTCATGGTTGCTTTTCTTTTAATTTTAAACAGTAATCACGAGAGTTTTTAACTTGAAACTTTTATGATATAACTTATTACAAATGGCAAGGCTTTAACTTGTCAATTTAGTGGGCAATCTAAGTAAAGCAACAGATTCAGGGTTGGTTCAGTTAATCCTCTTTATGTGCTCATCTAGTTCTGGTTTGTACTTCACAAAAGTGAGTGGTTCATTCAGTTACTGGATTTCCTAGTTTGTATATCTTTTCACAAGTTGCAACTGATTTAGATTTGAGTATCCCTTGTGGTCCCATGCAATAGAATAAAATTTTTTTGGTCAATAAAAAAATATAGATTGAGATTTTCACATGTTGATCTTTTTTATATCAAATTTGATGTTTGTTGATTACCAGATCAAAGAGGTTAAAGAGATTTAGAAGAAATCAATCCCCTACTTGTTAAATTCTTTGCTATTCTGCATCTTTTATTTATTTATTTATTTATTTTTTCCTGGACTTCTAATTTACTACATTGTTTGTCATTTCTGTTAAATTTTCACTTAGAAAATAATTTTGAATGAAATTTTGTACCACAGCAATGTATAATTTTAGTTTGGGGGAAAAGCAAGCTAGTGACCCTGAAAATTATTAATGCATCTAAGCTTCTCCTTGGCATGGATTGATCCCAAATGATATCAACTTGTTAGCATTTCAAACTTTCAGTTAAGTGGAGTTATTCCACCTTTGTTAGTCTGGGGTTTCTTATGGTTTATATTCAAGTTGTCCCTCTCCACCTAACCTATTGCTTTCCATTTGGTTTTGGGTTGGATGCTTTCACATTATAATTATTTTTTTCTTTAATGAATATATATTTCTATATTTCAATAAATAAGTGACAGTGCATAAAAACAGTAACAGTCATATAAAAACAATTAAGACATTGTGGGATAAAAGAAATATCCGTGATATTAAAAGGCTATGAGTATTGCCAACATATTTTGTTCTTCTGATTGCATAATCTATTTATATTAACAATTGCCTTTCCTTTTGAACTATTGAAGTTATTATTTACTAGTTGCCTTTCAAATGCTGTAGATTAGCATTGTGCTAACTGATATGCTTCAACATCACTGTTTTCAGAACCACAAAAGTTTTCTAAGGATGGGTATGAAGAACACATGCAAGTAAATCATTTGGCTCCTGCATTGCTTTCAGTGTTGCTTTTGCCATCCCTTCTTAGAGGATCCCCTAGTCGAATCATTAACGTGAATTCCATTGTAAGTTGGATGATGTGAAATATAAATGCCTATTTCACATACCTCATGTTCATGAGGAATGTGTTTTGCATGTTTTATTTCTTTAAAGTTAGCATTTCTCAGTGTTTATATTCTCATGGCATTGATGAGTGTCAAGACATCCCACTTGAAACCGGTAGGCAAGAGTTTGAGAGACCCAGCATTTGTAATGGTAACAAAGAAGTGGTGGATTGCTAGCCTACGGTCAAAGGTTTGTCATCGCACAATAAAAAAATTTGATAATGCATAAAACATTGAGAACATTCCTATCTTTTAAGATTTTTATAGGTAAGCTAGATAATTATGGGTTAAGAAATGAAAAATAAATGCAAGACATTTGTGCCCATTGTCTTGAATTTGCATTTATGTTTGTTTTGGTTCCTGTGCTTCCACCTCTTTATTAAATACACTAGCTAGTTTGCTTTTCTTTCATTATTCCCCCCCCCCCTTTTTTTGTGGTTCTCTTTATACTTCTTACTGATCCATGCACTTATTATCAGCATTGATTTTTAGAAAAGGGTTTTGTTATGTGTTTGTAATGCATTTGTATTTTGTCATTTTATTGCATATGGAACCTTCTGCATTTATTTTCCTCACTTTCTTTTTCAGAGAGTGGTTTATCCATTTTTTCCTGGTGCAGATGCATTATCTTGGCTTTGTCAATCCAGAGGACATGAATGTTAACTCTGGGAAGAGAAAATATACAAGCTTGGTGGGATACTCAGGCAGCAAGCTTGCACAGGTATTGTTAAGTCTCATTGTTAATTCTTTTAAGTTTTAACAGTTTGACTGCCTCAAAGTTTCCTGAAATGTTGGTGGAGATCTCTTCATTCTTGAACAAAATTGCAGAATATTTTTTAATCTATTCTGGCCTTTATATTGTCTTTCTAGAGATCACTTTGACTCAATGATCTAATAAAGACATTTGTTTGTGTGGGATTATATTCATTCCTCATGGCAGTGTTCTCATCATGTCCAAATGATGAATCATTGAAATCCCTGCCATGTAGAATCTGTGTATTGCCAAATAGATTGATTACTAGGAAATACTAGCCGTCAAATGTGCTCTGTGGGGAGAAATATATTCAACCTTCCTATAGCCATCAATTAGAAACTCAAATAAAAGGAGACTGATAAATTGGTGTTTCTTAGTAACTTCCATACCTCTATACATTTAATTGGCTACTTCTGAGATAAATAGCAATTCAAAGACTATTCCATGTTGTAATGGTACACATAAGTTTTCTCTGGATTCTTTCTTCCCTCTTGCCCCACCCCCTTACTCTCAAATTTTAAGCATGCAGTTCTTTCTTCTTTGTTCAACCCTTCACTTTCAAAAAGGGCATAATCAGTGTCATAAAATTAATTTTATTTGATGATATCATAACTGAAAAGTTGTTTTTTGTGTAATGAACATCCAGAGTATAATAACTCAAAACTACATTGAAATATATCGTGATTGGCATTTGCAGCCAAGTACAATGACAAGCTTTATTACTATCTGCTTGTTGTCCTGCTTGATTTAGCATTTTCTAGTTTCCCAGTGTGGGAGGTAAAATAGGAAATTGGTTAATAAACAAATTATTCAAGGCGTAGTTTAAGTATTTATGTTCTCTCATTGTTCATTATACAGACATGCTTTACTTTCGTTACTTGTAGCATCCTTTCTCCTCGTCAATAAGATTTCACAATCATGCATGACTTGAAGGAAATGTGGCTCTATATTTTCAAAGTTGTAAACAGCTAGTTATAAACTTGGTTGCATTTCATTGCAGGTTATGTTTAGTAGTGTCCTCCACAAGCGGCTGCCTGCTGAAGCTGGCATTTTTGTTCTGTGTGTATCACCTGGAGTTGTCCAGACAAATGTGGTAAGTCTCTGAAGCATTTCACTTTCCTATCGTTGAAAGGATCATGACATAAATGAAATTTTCTATCTACCTATGCACTGTTATGGTTACAATTCTTCCTCAACGAATTAATATATATAATTAAAAAAAAAAAAAGAAAAAAAAAAGGAGAATGTCCACTTGATTAGCATATGATCTGTCAACTAAATTGTTGGTTGCAGTGAAATCTTAGGATCCATGTCCATTTGATTAACATATGAGCTGAAAACATTGATTTGTTAGTTACATTGCTCCTCAAGCAATGATTTGTTGCCTTCTGGCTAGCAACCATCTTAGGTTATTAATAGTTTAGACAAAATGGAACCTCCTGTTAATCTTGAAAAGATTATATGAAGTCAAGGCAAGAGATTCTTCTATTAGTCACACCATAACAAACTTGCAAAGTGCCCAAAGCCATTTATTAGTGTTAAAGTCATTAATTTGAACTATGTAAGTAACTGTAGGCCAAATAATAAAAAGATCTGTGGAAATGATTGCCTTTCAAAATTTTCTCATATTTTTTCGAAATTTAATACTTGCAATGGAGTAGTTGACACGTGCATTGGTTATGCATGACTACCCTTGTTGAGACCATCACTTATATGTTCTTATCTTGTGGTTCATTCATCTCATCATATGATCCACTTTCTCTTTATGTTAAAGTTAGAATGTACAAAGTAATATAGCTGTAGTGTATTCTCATAGCTCTGATTGTTTCTAAATCCAGGCAAGAGATCTTCCCAAAACTGTTCAAGCTGTATATCGTCTAATACCTTATTTTATCTTTAGTCCTCAAGAAGGTAAATTTCCCAAATGCTTGTATGCTTGGTTTTTCTTTTTAAATATTAAACTGTCACATCACATCTGTAGTACAATACGTACATTAAGCCACTTCTATTTTTCAAGCCCTGGAAACTCCTAAAGTAGTCTGTTGTTGCTTTACCAGATATAATATAGTTTTGAATCTGAAATTATCCTATATCAAGTTTGACTGTGATGTTAGTTTGGGCTTTCAAATGGCGGGAATCTAACTGGATTAAGTGGAAAGTATCTTTTAGTATAAAATGCAACTTATTTATGGCTTCCAGCGTCTTGGTGGGGCTTGGTTAGAGGTGTGCACAATGTATGGGTAGACTCAGGAACTGCCAAGAACCAACAATTTAGATATGGAACCTATTTAGGGTTTGCAACCATCCAAACACATTTTTACTTTTAGCAAATCCTCGGTCATGTACCAGTAAGCAGTAAATCCTAGATGTCTATTATGCAGAACAATTCACTTGAGCTCTCTTAACAGTGTACTTTATTTCAACATTAATGATAATACATTGCCTCTTAAAGGATGGGATTATTAAGTTAACAGATATTAAAATGCCCTCAAGCTCATCTCTTATTTTGTATTCTGTTAACTTGTATGCAAATATTAAGTTGGGACTGGATTATTTCACACATTTTCTTGCTGCTTATATGTGAATTCACGTAACATACATGTTTCCCTTTCTGTTATGCCTAGACAGGGAAAAACAACATTCATGTACCTAAATCAACCTACACACATCTTTTACTGTTACAGTGCTTTGAAATAAGCCTTCTAGGAGATCTCTTATCAACTGCCCTTGACATTTCACTGAAATTGCACAACTCTGCTGTCCTCTTCACTAATTTATTTAGCAATGAAAACTGAACTAATGGAATTAACCTAACCAAGTGGTTTGCTAGTTTATGTTTCCTCAAGTTCTCAATCGAAATGATAAAAACCTGTGCAACAGTTATTGATGTAAGTTCTTTTCACATCGTACTTTGGATACAGGTTCTAGAAGTTCTCTCTTCGCAGCAACTGATCCCCAGATTTCAGAGTACTGTGAATGGTTGAAAGCAGATGAGTGGCCTGTTTGTGCATTCATTTCTCAAGATTGTCGCCCAGCAAATCCTTCTGAAGAAGCTCATAGTATTGAAACTCAATACGAAGTGTGGGAGAAAACATTGGAGATGATTGGCGTTCCTTCAGATGCTGTGGAGAAACTCATAGAAGGTGAGGAAGTCAAATGCCGATATGGAGCTCAACATGAATAGCTCTCATTTCCCAAAGAAGAGGGAAAAACTTGCTTTTACACTGAAGTCTATTCAGTCATCTTAAACAATGAGAAAGCACCTCCAATTCCCAGTCCCTTGATTTTGCTTCCTACTAAAAGGGAAATTTTACATCAACTGGAAGAGGTTTTAGGGGCAATTTTCGGTTTCATGGGCCAGTGGTAGTATTATTTTATGTTCCCACTTTACTGACAATTATAGTTTAGTTCATTGAAACCAAAGCTACATATTGGCATTGAGCTGTTCCTAATTTGTAAGATTGTTGCCATAGATTGCTGTCTTAATAGAATTCATCATTGAGGACGTGCTACCATGATGAACTTGAGATGGTTGTTTATTTTTTTACGCACTCAATGGTTAATGCTGCTGCTGCTGCTGATGATGATGATATAATCATTCATTGGTATTATCTCAATTATTGGCTTATAATTCTTGTGAAATTTACAAAATATGAAAGTTAATTTGATCATATTGTAATTTATCTTTAGAGAGAGATTGATACACACTCTTGTAAAACAAGATTAATGAACGTCTCTAAGTTCATTTGCTGTTGCTTATGTTGTAATATAAAGAAAGAATCAATTAGAAATTTAGAAGGAAAATTACAGAGACGAATGAGGCAACATAAACATATATTATATTTTTATTTCTTTTTTTTCTATTTGTTCTTTGTTTGTTCTTTATACATTTGTAAGTGTACAAGTGTTATAAATACAGGCCAATAGATGATAGGAGTTACAAGGAATAAACATTCACTAAATGGAAGGTTGTGAGGATTAATCTCTTATTAATGGAAAAGTTACAAGGAATTTCATTATCACCATTTTAATGTATAGTATTATGGAGTGTTAATCACCATTGTAATTGTATGAAAGTAGTGGAAGTTACATCATTACTTGGTGTGTAAATGCCATGAAAAGTGGGAAGGTGAGAGGATGAAGAAGCTAAAACATCCATAATGCATGACACTCCCCTAGATGTTCACCTTTATTATACACTTGTTAAACTAACTCATTAAAAAACTTGTCAAGAAAAGCCTTAGTGGGAAAAAAAACCTTGGCAAAGGGGAAAAGGGTACAACATATATATAATATTCCCTCTAAATTCAATGTATATTCAGAATAAAACAATTTATGTCAATCTAGTTCTTAGCTGCTCAAAGTTCTAGAAGCCAATAAATGTGTAAATAGAATTTGTTGGCTTTTCACTTGAATAGATCTAATAGACACTATTTCATTACATATTTGGAATATTAATTCAAAAACATCACATAATTACCATGATTTAAATTTTACTTGAATCATCTCTTTTCATATTGGCAAATCATTTCTTTGTTGACAATTTTCAATAAATTTAGTCCAAGATCCTCATTTTCATTGACTAGATCCATCACCATTGCATATACAAGAATTTTTAATTAATAATAATTTCATTTGGGTTCCATCCTCTTTTAGGAGAACCATAATTTTTAAAGATTTCATCATTATATATAATTTCAACATTCTCATTGTTTTCAAGTTACTTGAACCATCTTTTAGGGTTATTTTCTCAAGAACTCTTTATGAGTAATTTTAGTAGTACTAATATTTTGCTTATACTTTTTCTTCATTTTTAGATTTTTATCCTTAGAACCATTTGTTCCAACACGCTTCTGGTGTATACTTATTTGCTAATATTTTAGCAAATTTTTTAATAGGAATATCAATACAAGTAGGAGTACTCAAAGTTTAGATATATGATTTATTACTTTCATTTTGTCAATAGATGTATCCATCCATTAATAGTATAGAATTTTAGAATTCTAATTCATATCAATTTATTCGAGAATCTTGAAAGATGCATTTTAAGTTATCTCTTGCCTTCCCAATATTTATTCCTCTCCCCCTTATGCTGGGAATATAATCCCTTTAGATTGACAATCAACAAATTTTGTTGTAAAAAAATCTACAGTTAGCTCCTATAAACTCCTAGTTTTCTTTGGGATTATTAAGTCAGATATGCTCTCAACACAATATTTCATATTGCTTAAGAAACTATTTTGTCACCTTAATACCATCATATATCAAAATATATTTTAAATAATTGAGTATAGGCTTATATGTCTCATATAAACTCCTAGTTCTCTTTGGGATTATTAAGCCAAATATGCTCTCAACACAATATTTCATATTGCTTAGGGGACTATTTTGTCACCTTAATACCACAATATATCAAAATATATTTCAAATAATTGAGTATAGGCTTATATGTTTCATTGAATCCAACATAACAATGATAGAGATTATACTTCAATTGTATTTGTAAAAGGCTTGATAATCATGTTCTTAAGGGATGCAATAAATGAAAAATTACTAGTTGGCCAAGTTACTTAGTTCAAATCATTCTAGGACCAACTTTCTAATTATCCCTGATATTTGATCCAATTAGATTTATATGTACAATTCAAAAGGGAAAGTTTTTCAAATATGTGCCTTTTGGTCACATAAGAGATATGACATGGGGGGTATTTTATACTATTCTCATTTATGGTTTCAGTATGATAAATATTATATGTTTGTGCTCTTAAAGTTTAGTAGATTCCAATATAATTTACTACGATACAATTAGTCACATATTTAACAATTCAAATCTCCAAGTTGAAAGATTCAAGCTCTTCAAGAGCTTTTAATACTAAACAATGTCCAAGCATTTTAGACTTTTCATCAAGCTTGTAACATAAAATATCACACAACTTCAGGCTAAGTGTAACTAGGAAAAGTTTTTTTTAAGGATATTTCATCATAGTATAATCTTTTTGCACATCGAAAAATAATATACAATTTTTTAAGTTCTATTCTACTATTATACATTTTGTATAATAAGAGTGAATGTATGCCATATTTTATTTATCATAAAGGCACCATTATACCTTCATTATGCGATAGCAATACTTTACGCAATTTCAACTTTTCATCTTTGATTTCATCACTATAATAAAGATGCATTTTTTCAAAGTATATTTCCATCAATATTTAACATCTATATTGAGAGATATGTAACCTCTATGTAACCTCTATATTGAGAGATATTATATGAGATTAATATGAATCTCAAATTTTGGGTTTTAAATTCCCTATATGAAAAATATTATTATAAAATTTAGGTTAAATCCCTATTTTTGTCCATCTACTTTGGCAAAGAGTACCTTTTTAGTTCCTCTACTTAAAAAAGCTCATTTTTGGTCTCTGAAGTTTGAAATACAATCCCTTTTTAGTCTCTTCGTTAAGTTTTGCATATGTGCCACACTAGATGACAGAAATTTCAAAGTAGAGGGACCAAAAAGCATGAAAAGAAGAGTATATCTTCTTTAGTATGTCTTGATCAATAATATTTTTTATTTGTACAAAATAATTCAAAATATTTACAGATTTATACTAGCTAGCTTTTTAGAAGAGTTGTAATTTTCTTTTGATGGTCATCTTTCTTTCAAACAATTTTATGATTTCACTGAATCATTCATCATCAAATATTCATCTCTTACTCCTTTTTGAACTTCATAATGAAAAAAATATCATTTTATCACAATCCTTCGATAATGCCTTTTTCTTCAAAAATACAATTTTTTTTCAAGAATATTTTTTTTCTATAAAAGATATTTTATTCACTTTCACAATTGAATCTTCAAGATTCATTGGAGAAAAAAGAATTTTCACATCAAGAGTTTATGACAAATAATTGGAGTCTAATTTATCAAAGGCAATGAACTCAAGTCTTTTGACAAGTGTAAAATAACATATAAACAACAAAATCGTTATAGCACCATAAAATGTTCAAATTAGAAAACAAGAAATTGAAAGACTAAATTGTTTCAAAATTTTATCTCAAAACTTTACCTCAACTTATATCTTTATCTCTATTGATTCATCCCCTCAGATAGGATTCATGAATAGTAATTTATATAAAGGCAAGTCATACTGATAACACATTATAAAATAAAAAAAGAACTGATTAAAAGAAGAAGAAAAATTAAAGAGACAAGTGAGGCGATGCAAACATATATTACATTTTTATTCCTTTCTTCTCCATTTTTTCTTCATTTGTTCTCTATACATTGGCAAGAGTATAAGCCCTATATAAGAGCCAATAGGTGATAGGGGTTATAAGGAATAAACACCCACTAAATGGAAGGTTACAAAGATTAATCTCTTGATAATGGAGAGGTTACAAATAATCTCATTATCACCCTTTAAATGTATGACATTATGAAGTGTTAATCGTCATTGTAATTATATGAAGGTAATGGAAGTTGTAATTGTACGCAAGTTAATGGAAGTGGAGTATAAATGCCATGGAAAATGGGGAGGTGGAAGGATGAAAAAGGTAAAACATCTATAATAAATTAATAGATAACTGCTTATATTTTTAATCTTAATTAATTTGTGAATTAAAATTAGAACGTAAAAAGGCACATAAATGTAAGAAAGGGAACCAACCGGTTGTACTGGTTCATTCGTTTCACCAATTTTATTGGTCCATTCAGTTTTAACTGTTTTAGTTGTTTAAAATATCTAACTAGACTGATATCATGGCTGGTCATTGATTAGACTAATTAGACTACTCAACTGGTATTGAATTTCAAAACCAAGGCTTAGCAGTTCCCAAGTTCCGAGTTTGTTGAGACAATAACTCAAATATTTTAAATTGAGCTTCAAAATTCTTTAAAGGCTTAAATTATAAGGTTTTTTTTTTTTTTTATCATTTTGGCAAGGGGCAGGTTTCGAACCCACTTAGGGAGGGGGCAGTGCATTATCAATCTGGTTAATACCAATGGACCTAGAGGCCTAGGTGCTATAAGGTCTTAATAAAAAGCCTAATTTTTAGATAAATGACATTTAAATTATTAAGATAATATCATAAGAACCATATTTTACGATTATAAAGTTATAAATACCTTTCAATTACTTCTTTCGAGGATAATTGACACTCTCTCTATATTTAATACTTTTAGGAGTTTCCTCTCTAAGTATTTGCTTACAAGAATATTACTAATTTAAGGATTAGGTGTCTACCCAACATAAATAGGTTGGGTCTGTGCTGCAGGACTACTTGGACTTTGTCAACTTGCTCGGGTTTGTGCAGCAACAGAGTCTACTCAACACAATGACACTCATAAGAAAGAATGTTGTCGTTTGTGTTTTTCTTCCCTTTCTTGAAAAATTTTCTTGTTCAATAAAAAAAATTAGGGTTTTGATTAGTATATGAGTTTTTTGTTTTATAATTTATATTATATTTAATTATAAAATAAGAATTAGTATATATAAAATAAAAATTATTAAATAAAAAATAATTTTTAAAATTTAAAGTTCAGTAATAATATTTTATCCAATTTAAATTCCACAAGATTTTTTTTCGTTGTTTTTAAATTCTTATTCGGTTTTTAGAACATTTAAAATCTACTTTGACAACCATTAACTGGGTGGAAGTGATAGGTTTTAGCTACCCGGTTTTCAAAGTAATATAAATGGAAAAATGCATGCCAATCTTAATTTTTAAAATAAATTAAAATTTTAATATTAAATTATTTTATTTTATTAAAATTTAATTTAAATTTTTAA